GCTGGGCGCCCAGCTCTGAAGGCAGCACCACCGTCAGGCGCAGCACAGAAGCAAAGGTGGCACGCTACGGCAGGAGGCGGGGGAAGTCACCACTTTTTGTGGGGGGTCATCACAGCCTGAAATATTTTTAAAGGGGGTTCCAGCAAAAAAAAATTTGAGAACCTCTGGTCTAGATGATTATGATGGTCCCTTCTGACCTTAAAGTATGTGGAGGCCAGTGGTTGCACTGTTTGTCCAAAAACACCTTGAAGGGGAGGGAGAAGCATTCCCACTGTTTCAGATATCACTTCCTCAGCAATCTACATCTGTTAAGCAAGTCTGTCAGTACAGCATGTGGTGCCAGCATTCAGTCAGATTTGTGATACATCCGGGGCCTAACAGTGCTGGAAGGGAGGTTTTTTTCCTGTAGGAACTCGATATTGAGTGGAATCAGGAATCCACCTGTCTGACAGATGGACATTCTGAGGCTCCAGGATTAGGCCACTTCTGAATTACAGAGTCAAACTGTGAAATTCTCTCCTCTGCAGAGCCCTGCGTGTGCGTAAGAAGACAGGAGGAGAAAAAATGCCTGTGCAGATGATTGGGGACATCCTGGCTGCCGAGCTCTCTCACATGCAGGCCTATATCAGATTCTGCAGTTGCCAGCTCAATGGAGCTGCATTGCTGCAACAGAAAACAGATGAAGAAACAGAGTTCAAAGACTTCTTAAAGGTATTCTATTCACTAGCTTCCATATTGGATCCCGGTCTCCTTTCCCCTGATGGCAGGGCATGTTCAAAAGCCTGTCCAACCAAAGGTAGACTTGTCCAGAAAAATCCAGGATTTCAGAATCCTTCCTGCATAGATACAATCCTCTGCTTTCCTATGAATCTGATATGCTGATAGTGTTAACATTCAGTGACAGTTGCTGTAGAACCTGTTCTTCAGTCTTGTTCTCTTGCGAGTGTTTTATTCCATTTTCCATTCCACTGCTTTATATTAATCCAGCATAGATGCTGCACCTTCAAAGTTACAGTGCTTGTGTTTGCCTTTCTTTCAAGATTCATGCTACAAAAGAGGTTGGAGTTGATTGATTTGGACTGCAAGGCTTGTTGTTTTAAACACCCTGCATAACTTGCAAAATCAATGAGCTGTTTCTGGATTGTGCTGTTTTGGACTGTGTGATTTCAGTAGGTGCGAGGACTTCACAAAAGCGAGACATGCGCCCTGAGGCTAACAGTGAGCATAACATTACATAAAATAACTAGGAGTAAGGAAATGCTGCTGCAGCTCAGGTGATGAGATGTCTTTGATGAAGGGCAGTCAACTGTGAAGGGGAAAATGCCAAAACATTTGACACACAGTTTGGTTGTTTTTTTTAACAGACTTTTCCGGATCCTTATGTAAACTAAAAACTCAGTCCACTTTAAATGATCGGGTTTTGGTGACTACAGGAGCTTCACTTTCCTGGCTTATGTCAGCAGAACGTCTCAGGGTTTGTCTACACTGAAATTAGTCACCAGTGGCTGGCTTGCGGCAGCTGACTGGGGCTCAAGGGGCTGGGGCAATGCGGCTGTTTAACGGCAATGTAAACGTTCAGGCTCCAGGCTGCAGCCCAAGCTCTGGGACCTTCCCACCTCGCATGGTCCTAGAGCCTGGGCTCCAGCCCGAGCCCAAACATCTACACCACAGTTAAAGAGCCCCTTAGCCCAAGCCCTGGGACCCCAAGGCAGCTGGCATGGGCTTTCATTGACGTGTAGAGTAGACATACCCTCAGTAGAATGACAGTTCTCTAATTCTTTGCCATTAGTTCTACATGTAAATGCACTGTGATTTTTTCACCTGTATGAGCTCTAGGATTTCTTGCAGTAACAGGGAAGATTCATTCCATCAGGCACTGTTCAGTGCAGCGATGCAAGGAGTTCCTTTTATTTCTTGATCATTAATGCAATGTCTGTGGATTACACCATAGAAACTAGCCTCTGACCCTCGCTGTAAAGGAATGCCGCTCTCCAGCTTCCTGCTGAAGCCTATGCAGAGGATTACACGCTACCCTCTGCTCATAAAGAGTGTGAGTATCCTGGGTTTGTAAAATTCTGAATCGTGTAGCATTTTAAATTTGATTTCTGTAGCAGTGTAACTGCGGTTGCAAAAACAGAGACAGCATTGTCATGTAATAAGGATTTCTTTATAAGTGTATCACATCTGGTGCCTATCCTTACCTGGGTTTTTATCTCTGTCTGTTTCTGTTTCCTCCCTTCTGATCCCAACCAGATTCTGGAGAATACCCCAGAAAACCACCCAGATCACAGTAATCTCAAACTGGCCTTGGAACGCGCAGAGGAGCTGTGTTCTCAAGTTAATGAAGGCGTGCGTGAGAAAGAGAACTCAGACAGGCTGGAGTGGATACAGTCCCATGTACAGTGCGAAGGACTTTCTGAGGTAACTGGCTTAGCTAGTGCTTGGGTGACTGGTATATATAGGGCTGTATTGTAGAGCCCTTTAAAGTTAATTTACACGGAAACCAAGTAGGAAAAAATAAGTGGGAGTGGCATGTTCTGCCCGCTAGCATTACCTGAGCTCTACCCACTTGTGATCTCAAAGGGAGCTGCCACTCAGTAGATTGTGGGGATATCCGTAATATGATTATCCCTCCCCTTTCTTGTCTGCTTTGAGCAACAATGAAATTGCTGACATTTTACACTGGTACCATTAAGCTTCAGTTAATATTAATTGAAGCAATTTCTCACTCTTCAGATTTGGCTTAAGCTGCCAGCAGACTGAGGCAGATGTTCCTAGGTGGGAGTACTCTTTGGCCACCTTTTTGAAGTTTTTCTTCACAACAATAAGAGTCTAGAAATTATTTTTAAACTTAATTCTCGAGCACAAGATGGCAGCCACTAGGGAAAAGTTTCAGCTCACTGGCCCAGTCAGACCCCTGCATTTGTGGCCTTAAAGCCTTAAACTAATGTTTTTCATTGAGAATAGGGCTGAAACCACTAGAGCTTATAAGGAAGTTGACTTCTCTTAAGACTTGCTAGGATTCTTTCCCATGTACTGTAAACTACTGGGGGAAATACACAAGAATTCTACATGCATTAAACAAAGCGAGTAGGGTTTTGAGGGTCATAACCAATAATTACTCTGAAGACAATCAGGAAATGATGCACATAATACCCAGCAGCTGCTGCTACTCATATATTGATTATATCTCTCTTAGCAACCGATTTTCAACTCCATTACAAACTGCCTGGGTCCCCGAAAGCTCCTGCACAGCGGCAAGCTCTACAAAACAAAGAGCAATAAGGAACTATACGGCTTCCTCTTCAATGACTTCCTGCTCCTTACCTACATGGTCAAGCAGTTTGTTTCTTCAGGGTCAGATAAACTGTTCAGCCCCAAGTCCCACTCTCAGTTCAAAATGTATAAAATGGTGAGTGAATTATAAAGCAAATCAGTAGTTCTTGATCTCTTCATAGGAATCCTGTTCTCTCTCTCTGCGGTGATGCATTATCTAGTGCTGCTTGATTAGTCACGGTTGTACTGAATATTACACAGTCTCGACTGTATTGGGTGTCGTCATCAGTCATTGGGACTGAACGTTGACTGTGTGGGGCTATTCTCTCAGTGGATACACAACCCCTATGCAGGGAATGTGAGGATGCTGAAGAGAGAGCCCTCCTTGCATCCATTTTATAAACGCCTCCTTCTGCTTCATAGTCAAGTACCTCCACAGTACTCTGCGGCCAATCTGTGGTGCGAGGCTCTTAAATCCACATGAATATTCGTTCATTCATTGATTTTGAAGACAAGGAGAGCTGCATGGTGCTCAGTGTTTTTGAAAATTAGGCCACTTACTTAGGAGCCTAAATGTTGACATGGGACCCTTACTTTAGTCTCCTGTTCTTGAAAATGTGGACCTCTGTGTCCAACCCCTGTATGCTTCCCAATGAGCTCACAGTGCTCCTGAGGAGGGTAGGTAAGTAGCCCCATTTTCTGATGGGGAAACCGACGATGCTGAGAGGTTAAGTGATTTGCCCAAAGCCACACACTGTCTGTAATAAAGTTGGGAGTAAAAAGCAGAAACTCCTGTTTCCAAGTCTTGCCTTAGTCCATGCTCTGTCTCTGCTTATACAGCTCTTCCCCTTTCATAAAGCACTTTTCTAAGGTAGCAAGGTTGTGTTTTAGCCCTGTGTTCGCTGGTTTATCTCTTAGTCCTAGAAAGAGTTGCTAAAATCTTTAAATATTGATCTGTCTGTTTTTCTGGTGGCCTGAGAGGGGTGTTCACTTTTTTTAGCAAAAGAAGACATATTTAAATATCATAGTTTTGTTTCTGCTTAGCATCTTGGTGAGTTTGCCACAGCGAGGTTTGCCTTTCCTGCATGTTTTTCAGCCTGTTTTCCTTAATGAAGTCCTAGTGAAATTGCCAACTGACCCTTCGAGTGATGAGCCAGTTTTCCATATCTCCCACATTGACAGAGTCTACACGCTAAAAACAGACAATATTAACGAGAGGTGAGTACTGGAAATGCTGAGCCTTTTGAGGCCTGGGTGAGCCCTATGGAAGAAAATAATATTTAAGCCAGACACTCCGGTGGCTCTTTGCAGTTTAAGGGCAGCAGAACTTCTACCAGATTACTCCTTTTTACACGAATGTGGGAGTGCTTACACCGTGCAGAACTCACTTCAGACACACATGGACAAGCGGAAGGCATGGGGAAGCTTTCCATTGACTCACTGGGTGTTAGATCAGACCCATGGTGAGCATTCAGCCAAGCTCTGGCTCCCTATCAAATCTGTAAAGATTTGTCTGTCAATTCAGGGGGGTTCCTTCTGGACTCAGAACACACAGTAGACTTGTAAATACTTTTCTCACCTGCAGGTACACAGAGAGAGACTGTTTTGCCCTCATCATGCTGGTCTAAATCAGGATGAACTGCTTTGAAGTCAGTGGAATTACAAGCTGGTGTGGGAGGAGGGTCTTTGTAATAAGCCATCAGCTCTTCTTAGCTACATTTTTGTCTGTGCTGAAAGGCTGATGTCTTACCATACCTCTGCTGTCAGCAAAAATATATGTTTAACCCACTAGCAGTGTGTCTGCAGTTCCCTCTAGTGCTGTTCCACAGAGAGGATGACAACTTATTACAGCTATCCGTAACGCCATTAGCTGAAGTGGAAGAGGTCTGTGTGGTGGATCTAAAGGTTTCGATCCTGCTGATGACCCGTGTATCAATATGATACAGCTAGTGGAATTCATTTTTTTCAGTTTGCTTTTTTGAAAACCTAGAAAATTACACACAAAAAATTGTGTTAAAAGAACATTGTTAAGGATGCAATGTCAACCACTCAAAAGTTAGAGGTGCTGAGGAAAAAGTAGTACGTGATCACGTAGTTAAAGACCATATCCTAATGTAGACACACACGGGGACTGAACTAAGGGTGCACGGGCATCCCTAATTGTGGCATTTCTTAACTCTTGAGTGCTTGACTTTGCAATCTTAATAATGTTTTTTTAACATAGTGGTTTTGTGTGTAATATCCCATGTATAGGCTACCCACATGTGCCAGACTAATTTTTAGTTCATGTCCTTTTCCTGATACATAATTAGCACAGGGTTCTCTTTGTCTAAACCAACATATTGTGTAAAATTGATTCACCCTTTGGAGAAGGTTTAAATTACACTAAAAATGTTGTTCTCCATAAAATTGATTGCAAAATTCTCAGCCTGTATGAGATTCACCCCACTCATCGCTACTCACACCACATACCAGTACCAGAGCACACGTACCAGCTAAGGAGGTGGCTGGTGCCAGTGCTCTGGACTGGGTCGGGTAGGCAAGAGACCATTTTTCTGATAATTTCCCATGGTAGTTGGGGGCAATGGACCAGGCTTCTGCTAGGTCCCCTTACTCCAAAGATGGCCACAAAGGCACCTTCACAAAGCCCATAAAGGGGGGAGCACATCCTAACCTTCGCTTTGTTAGACTCCCAAGAGCTCAATCTAATTGGTATATCACTATGAAGCTGGTTTTCCAGACCCATAATCGTTCTCATGGTTCTTCTCTGAACCCCCTCCAATTTATCAACATCCTTCTTGAATTGTGGGCACCACTATTCCAGCAGCAGTCACACCAGTGCCAAATACAGAGGTAAAATAACTTCTCTACTTGTGCTTGAAATTCCCGTTTATGCATCTCAGAATCACATGAGCTTTTTTTGGCCATAGTTTCGCACTGGGAGCTCATGTTCAGCTGATTATCCACTACAACCCCCAAATCTTTTTCAGAGTTGCTGCTTCCCAGGAGAGAGTCCCCCCTCCTGTAAGGACCGGCTACAGTCTTTGTTCCTGGGTTATCCATTTACAGTTAGCCATAATTTTACATCAAATGAATAGATGATGGTGGGACCCTCGTGGTCAAGGAGACCTAAGATCAGGTTAGCTCAAAAGAAGGGAACAAAAAAATGTGACTTGAATTAGAGACAGTGAGATTTATTAAGTGTTGCTGGAATAACGGCAAGATTCTTAGCTCCAAAATGACTCTGCAGGGATTAATTTTCACAGGACGGCCTGGGTCCAGAAGATCAAAGGAGCATCGGAGCAGTATATCGAAACCGAGAAGAAGAAACGGGAAAAAGCTTATCAAGGTACAAAATGTGGGCACTGGCCGAAAAGGGTGCAGGGCTCTCGTGTGCCTGGAGGGATTTCAGGGTCTTCTCTTGAGGAAGCAGCTTCCAAGATGGTTGAGCTGATGTCCCTCTTCTAAACGATTAACTCTCGCCTGGGAGTGTAGGTGCTATTGCATGGCTGAGTGTGTAACTCGTATTTTAATAGAAAGGGTCTCTACATATCAACTGACTACATCATCTGTTCCAAATGGGACAAATTAAGGTAATATTGTTGCCAGTTGTATTTGTACTGTCAAGCTGTTTATTAATTCTGATTTTCTTTTCCAGCACGCTCACAGAAGAGCTCAGGAATAGGACGCTTGATGGTACATGTGATTGAAGCCACAGAGTTGAAAGCCTGTAAACCTAATGGTAATAATGTAGGGGTGGAAGGCTAGTACATTCAAAGAGGAGGGTTAAGAGTTCATTGAGTCAGGCAAAAGTGCAGATTTCAGTGACAGCTTCTGCAGGTGGCTCCCAGGGATGCAGTGGGGTAACGTGTCTCTGCTGTACTAGTGAATAGAATCATAGAATATCAGGGTTGGAAGGGACCTCAGGAAGTCATCGAGTCCAACCCCCTGCTCAAAGCAGGACCAATTACCAACTAAATCATCCCAGCCAGGGCTTTGTCAAGCCTGACCTTAAAAACCTCTAAGGAAGGAGATTCCACCACCTCCCTAGGTAACACATTCCAGTGCTTCACCACCCTCCTAGTGAAAAAGTTTTTCCTAATATCCACCTAAACCTCCCCCACTGTAACTTGAGACCATTACCCCTTGTTCTGTCATCTGGTACCACTGAGAACAGTCTAGATCCATCCTCTTTGGAACCCCCTTTCAGGTAGTTGAAAGCAACTATCAAATCCCCCCTCATTCTTCTCTTCTGCAGACTAAACAATCCCTTCTCAGCCTCTCCTCAGAAGTCATGTGCTCCAGCCCCCTAATCATTTTTGTTGCCCTCTGCTGGACTCTCTCCAATTTTTCCACATCCTTCTTGTAGTGTGGGGCCCAAAACTGGACACAGTACTCCCAATGAGGCCTCACCAATGTCAAATAGAGGGGAATGATCACATCCCTCGATCTGCTGGCAATGCCCCTACTTATATAGCCCCAAATGCCGTTAGCCTTCTTGGCAACAAGGGCACACTGTTGACTCATATCCAGCTTCTCGTCCACTGTAACCCCTAGATCCTTTTCTGCAGAACTGCTTCCTAGCCATTCGGTCCCTAGTCTGTAACAGTGCATGGGATTCTTCCGTCCTAAGTGCAGGACTCTGCACTTGTCCTTGTTGAACCTCATCAGGTTTCTTTTGGCCCAATCCTCTAATTTGTCTAGGTCCTTCTGTATCCTATCCCTACCCTCCAGCGTATCTACCATTCCTCCTAGTTTAGTGTCATCTGTAAACTTGCTGAGAGTGCAGTCCACGCCATCCTCCAGATCATTAATAGTTGTTGCCTAGCCCAAGCTTTTGCAGAATGCACCTTCGAACAGCAGTCACAATAGGAGAGAGGTTTTTGTATTGGGCTGTATGTTTGTGTAAATCCAGCCTCTGAGGAAGACTTTTACTTTGAAGAATAAGATGAAGAACAAGAGAAACGTGAGAGAGCTTTGGTTGTGGTCTGGCTCTTTTGTGTGTTCCTATTAATAAAGACTCTTCAGTGCTAGATCCGCTTAGGGAAAAGCATTTCACCGTTTGTTCTATGCTTAGGGAAGAGCAATCCGTATTGTGAAATCAGCATGGGGTCACAGAGCTATTCCACCAGGACGCTGCAGGACACTTTGAACCCTAAGTGGAACTTCAATTGTCAGTTCTTCATTAAGGACCTTTATCAGGATGTGCTGTGTATCACCATGTTTGACCGGGATCAGTTCTCACCTGATGGTAGGTGTAAACATTTTTTCAGGACATGGAGAATTCTCTGATCATTTTGATTGTGCTGCATGTTTTCCTCCCAAATGGCCACAAGGGCTTAACGTGTGGTCCCACTCCGAGAAAAAGACACTTTCTTACTCAATAGGTATGTTAGCCCTGCAAAGTCAGCACAGCTCTGGGTGATCAAGCTGGATTCTATTTGGCCTTGTCCATCAACAACAGAATTGTTTCTTTTCAGTCAGTTACACCTGTCTAAGCCCCTGGAGGAAAATGGGGCTGCAGAGGTGTCACTGAAGGCAGAATGTGTTCCCTTCATTGCTGGTTGTGATGCATGAGAAAGAACTCAGCTTGAGTCTCAGATCCCAGGTTACATTGGCAGAGCTGGCAGTTGGAAAAAACATTTTTTTATCTGTAAGCTGAGCACATTTGATATTGAAATCATTAACTCACAATAAACAGGGGACCTCCCAATGCCATTTTTAGTGACATTTCAAGGTAGAACCTTACTTTTATACATGCAGTACTGTGTACTATAGCAGTATGCATAAGGTTGCCAGGATGAAAGCTGTATCCTTGTAAACACTCCTGTCAGACTGTTGTTCAGATTCATCATTCCTCATGGAGAGAATAAAATATATAAATCTAATTAAAAGTGGCTGAATTAAGGCAGTTAAACCCCTGGGTTTTCTTCTTGACACAGCAACTGATTCATTGTGAAAACTTGGGCAAGTCACTTAGCTTCTCTCTGTCTCCATCTGTAAGATGAGAATATTTGTATCTGAAAGGGATGGTATCAGAAATGAAGATGTTTGTGAAGCATTTTGAGATCCTTAGATCAAAGACCTTAGTGCAAAGTATCATTGCTAATATTTTTTTAGCTCTGTGCTTCTGGAGCTCTATCTATCTAGCAAAAAGTCCCTTTCGTCTTCTCAATTGTGCAGGATGATTATACTGGCCGAGCAGCAGGCTGACCTGTTCAGGAGTAAGGCAGGGACAGGTCTGAATCAGGGAGTAAAGATTGGACAAGGAGCACTTGTGCTTGCTGAGGTGTTACTCTTTAGTATCGTTCTCTTACTTCCTGTGACTGGGAGTTACTACACTGATAAAAATTCAAGCCTTGTATGATAAATACATCAACAGTAACTGGAACAACTGAATTGCCTAACGTAAGAAGGTAAGAATGGCCATATTGGGTCAGACCAATGGTCCATCTAGCCCAATATTCTGTCTCCAGCAGTGGCCAGTGCCGGATACATCAGAGGGAATGAACAGAACAGGGCAATTATCAAGTGATCCATCTCCTGTTTTCCAGTCCCAGCTTCTGGCAGTCACAGGCTTAGGGACTCCCAGAACATGGGGTAATCTAAACTAATCTAGTCTACTATGGGACGCAGTCATGGCTAGGGGATTCAAGTGCACTAGGCACTTTGAGAAACTCTTGAGCACTAGGTGATGATCCAAGAAGTCTTTCTCAGCTCTGACATCTGTGATAAGTGTCCATTTATCTTTATATTACATAGACCTATTGAGCCAATCTAAATGCTTGTCTAATGTTAGTGCTTTGCCTTGTTTGCTCAGGTTTTCAAATCTAAGATTTATAGCTAATGCTGTTCACTTACACTTGTTCAACAGATTTCTTGGGTCGCACCGAAGTTCCAGTAGCAAAAATCAGAACAGAACAGGAGAGCAAGGGACCTACAACGAAACGTTTACTGCTGCATGAGGTTCCAACCGGGGAGGTTTGGGTCCGCTTTGATTTGCAGCTCTTTGAGCAGAAAACACTCCTTTAAGAAAACATTTTTATTTTACAAAGGACAAAGCTGACAGCTTGGCCACCTCCACCAGAGCTGAAAGCATTTTACAAATCAATCATCAGCCCAAGCCAGTTACTGAGCAAGAATTCCTGTTGCATCATCATCTTCCTAATTATCCGTTGTATATGATTTCTTTGCTGCATCCTAAGTTGCTGGTGATCTATGCAAATGCAAAATATACTGTATATAAGATACTCTAGCTCAGTGCCTTTTTGTTGATTAATATTGACATTTTTGTTGTGTTCAGATGCCAATGTTTCCGTTTTCAGGGCCATAAAAAGTATTAAATAGTATCTTGGCATCAGATGTATGTATATATAATGTTACCGCTTAGTCTAACATATAGACTGAGGAATGGTTTAGTTGAAGGCTACAATCATTCCATTTGAAATCTGAAAAGTTATATCCACTGGAATATTCCCTTCTCAGGGTGTTAATTATAGGGATTAAATGTTGAAGCCTTCGCACTTGAGGAGGCTCTAAAATGCTGTATGTTCTTTTAAAAAAAATAATCAAATGCAGTTCTTTACTTGACACAGTTCTGCACTGAATAAGAAATTGCAACTTGATTTTTCTTTCTGGTTCGGTTGTATTAATCATTTCTGGCAGAGACAATGTGGTTAAAAAGAGTAAGTAGAAAAAATGATTTATTTTAAATACTGTGTGCGACCTACAATAATGTGGAAGAATATTTTTCAACTTTTAATTTTCCTAAATTATTTGTGTAAAATTACTTGGTTTTGCAGATCTCCGTGGGATGTGCATCTTTATGCTTTGTCATTGCCAACATGTACATACAGAGTGAAAAATATAAGTTTATTAATGTAATTTGTCTACATATATTTACTGATGCATATTGATTTTAAAAAAATATATTTTATTGTACAGGTGAATGGGAAATAATGGGAAGTAACTTACAAGGACTAAATTCAAGGAAAGACTATTAAAATGTAAATTTTGTTTGCTATGGGAACTGCTAGTGCAGTAGGGGTTTGTAGAACTGAAATTTGCTGCAAGCAAAATCTTCCTCCCCACATGAAAATCAGGAATGGTAAAAGGGGGTTTGTTTTTCAAAGTGTTTGACAAATAGTAACCATGTTATTGCATCCTGAATTTGCCTTGTGGACATTTAAGCGTTGCATTCAGTTCTAGACAATGAGTGAATTTGTATCCCACAGGTGCTACAATACCTAATAATGCCTAACAGAGTTTCAAACCTGATTACCAGCCTGAAGGCCCTTTCTTTGCTGGACTTAAGTCAGACCCTCTGTTACTTTTAACAGTTTTCTGTGG